ACACATACATACTCAGAAAACAATATAAGACATATGGAGAGTAGGGGGAAAAAAGAGCAAAATTATTCTTACGGCTCAGAAGGACAATACCTCCTTTTCAGGGAAGGTCTTTTCACCGTTCCCCTTCTTTCAGTGAAAGAGAAGTTAAATTGTACAGTGTGTAACAATCCACAGGCCAACTCTCTTTTAGATAACTCTAACAAAATAGCTGATTCACTTTCTTATCCATCAGGCCAGGTACAATTTCACCATTAAGTAGGTTTCCCCCCAATGGTCTAATAGTTCACCAGATAAGAATACATGCTTGTGTTGTGTCAACTAGGCACCTCATGATGAATTCCAGTACTGTATGAATGAATGCAGAGTGAGCAGTGATACTGAGAGATGTGGAAAACGTGAGTCATACAGAGTAGCACTAGGAGAGAAATGCGTTAAAATAATGCAGCAAAGAACAAATTTAGTCCTTTCTTATCTCTGAGCATCAGCAGTAAACCCCAGATAATTATTACTGCACATTCCTAGATAATGTTTTAAGGTCTTAAGAGAATAAAAAGAGTAAAAAATGAAATTTCAGAAAGTACCACTAATATTAACTGTGTAATTATGAGCAGGCAAAAAAAAAATCTTGTATGTGTAAAATGATGGATTTTAAATAGATAACATCTAAGTTTCCTTCCACCAATAATTCAGAAATTAGGGAATAAGAAATTTGAACTTCATTAATTCATTTTCAAAGATGATTAAAATTGGGAGGAAAGTTTACACAAATACAAAGTGCATGACATCAAAATTAAATGAAGTGACTACACAAATAAAATATATATAAGATCAAGTCTATCTGTACTTTAAAAAGAAAACCTGAAAAGAAAAAAGAATATCATATCAGACCCACTGAAAATTAGAAAATTATCCCTTTTCTAGGATGCTGCACCCAAAATATATATATCATCTCTTCCTGACATACCTGTGTCTAACAACCAAGAAAATGCTCATAGAAAATAATGCAGAAAGATGGGTAAATACACACTTTTTAAAAATATATCTCATGTCAAATATCTCTAATTCAAATGGTGACTAGAACAAAATGTACACACTTAAGAGTTGGTTGCCCATAATGCTAAAAGAGGAATATATATCACATTTTCTACATTTCTTTATAAACTCATTTTCAATTCTCAAGTAACATTATCTATAAAGAACTTTGTAAAACTGTGTTGTAGTATGCCAAAGTAAAAATGGATGTTACTCACAGCACGGCTCTTCACCAAAAGATATAAATTTTGGTACCCTCCCCTGCACCTTGTAAATACATACTTGATTAACACATTAGGAGCTCCCCTGGTGGCTCAGATGGCAAAGAATCTGCCTGCAAGCAGGAGACCTGGGTTCAAGCCCTGGGTTGGGAAAATCCCCTGGAGAAGGAAATGGCTACCCACTCCAGTATTCTTGCCTGCAGAATCCCACGGACAAAGGAGCCTGGCAGGCTGCAATCCATGGGGTTGCAAATAGTCAGACATGACTGAGTAACCTTCACTTAGCAATATTTACGCGCAGGGTTTTCCAGGTGGTGCAGTGGTAAAGAATCTACCTACCAAAGCAGGAGATGTTCCATCCCTGGTTCCCACTGAAAAATAACAATGGTATGTTACTGTCCAGAGGTCATTAAGACAAGAGAGGAGTTCCAGGTTCTTACTTGTGCAAAGCAGCTTAGGGTAGTAACTAAAGATTACATTACAGAAAAAGAGGGAGGGAGGAGAGTAAAGAGGTCATGAAGGCCCCATGGAGGTCAACAAGTATGCTCAGAAAGAGCATGGAATTCCTCCATGGAATGGAGGAAGAGACATACGGGGCCATTCGATTTAAACATTGTTTAAAAAAAAAAACGTTTCTGACATTCTTTCATTCGTTCTGAAAACTGTGTTTTTGATATTTCCAACTTTAATTAATAGGAAGTGGGTAGGCTTAAAATTGTATTTTAAAGTTTCCATTTTACTGGCAAATTAACTACTTATATAATGATTATGGGTAAAATATAGAATAATCAGATATTTGCTATTTCAGGGAGTACAAAAATGATTAGATGAATACACAATAGTAAACCCCACTCACTTCTTCAGACCAAAAAACCACCTGAATAGTGCCTAAAATGACCTGAGAGGGTAACAGATAATTCTGCCAGTCCCGAAGTACAAAATTCCTGTAGATAATGTTGTGTGAATTGAACTTTCAAAAACCACTGTCTAAGATTCCACTTTCACTTCTATTATCATTAATTGATGAACATTAGCTCCATTAAAAATAATAGCCATGTAATAGAGCTCAACACTGTAATGGGAATTTTCTGGTCATCTATCAGGCACAGATTGATTTTACCTTCAACTACTGCATATTTCCCAAAAAGTTTGAATCTTACACTTCATTACACAAGATTACAGCGTAAAAATTAAATTCAAGTAATGGCTTTGTTGAATATTTTCTACTCTTAAATAAAGCTGTTGAGTCACAATGCAACCAAAGTTAAGATACCAAAAAGGCAGGGTTTTTTAAAATCTATTATTCAGGAAAGTATAATACATTATAAATATATTTTGATGAGAAACAGAAGACATTTTTTGAGGAAACTTTGCTATATTATAAAGCATATGCTTTGTTAAATGTTCATATATGTTCTCCAATAAATGGATTGTATCTTGATTGCATCAACATTTCTACATCTTAAAACTTAGAGTGCTATATTTCATCAGGATTATTAATTACCTTAATTTCCTGAAAATTAAAATTTTCAACTATAGTGGAACTTAAGTCTAAAAAGTGACTCCCTTTTTGTTTCCAACTTCTGAGAAAGTGTGTTTATTTAACTTTTCTTATGTAGTAACATAAAGAACCTGTAAACTGAAACAATCACATAGATTTTACTCAGGTGTTATGATTTAGTTTCTCAAATCATTTAAAAAAGTAGAGGTTTCTGAGCACTTTATTTATATAACAAAAACTGTCATTAATGGTTAACATTTCCTCATCATTTCCTGAAAACAAAAATAAATTTCAAAATAAAATAAAAATTTGAAAGTAATTTCAGAAAAGAAGCTTTAAAATAATACTAACTTCTCATATCTGGACTAGAACTTTACAGCCAGATGAAATTAGCACCTCATCAACATTCATTATAATAATGCCTATATTTAATCAGGTAGAGGGCATATAATATTAAAATGACTTACTGATACTTCATGAAAAACACTGCCAGAGACACCTAATTTTTTAAAATATATTTCCTTTTAATACTTCTTCTTTCATTTACTCTTAACATAGAGTCCTCTTTTTATTCATGTGTACTTCTCATCTGAAGTTCTTCTAGTAATTTACACTATCCAATTGCCCTTAATAAAGACTTCAAATGACATAAACACAACAAACCTCTTGGTTAGAACTAAGCACCTACAGTGCTAAGGTATTCTGCATCTTCTTCAAAATGTGTTCCAAAATTACCAACATGATAAAAGGAAAATACAAACAACTGGATATAGAATTTTCACTGATTCATTTTTACAAATCCACCAGTAGATCTTCAAAAATATGTGAGATTAAATCAAAACCATAAGTCACTATATTTTACTTTACCACAATTTCTTAACTTAGCCAAAAATTCTTCACATCTAAAATATTCCATTAGTTAGCCATAGAACAACATGAGAAATTCTGTTCAATACAATATGTCTAATAAAATCAAGTTGACTTTAGCCACACTGTCATTTAAAGAAGGCAATTAAATTAGGATGAAACACAAAATTTAAAAAGCAGCTTTGGGAATAATTTTTTTTCTTACAGCCATTACCAAATCCTTATTGAACTGATTAATTATGCAAGAGAAGCAGCATAGAGCTGAAGAAAGAATGGCACTAACATCACTACCTGGCTTATCTAAGAACTCATAAAAGTTAAAGGATCTTATTTTATTTTACCATAGTCTCTAACATATAAATGCTGCTACTTTTCTGCAGTTTAATTAACATGAGTAATAATGTAATATCTTTCTTTAATCATCTAAAAATCTTAATTCTAGCTTAAATTTTATTTTAAAGAGCAATATTAATTCAGAATATGTCCCTTTGGTTGCAAAGCACCATTAATGCCAAATAAAATAATGAAGAAAAGAATTCTAGAAGGAAATCAAGACGCCAAATTCCCTAATACAACCAGCCCTTGGTGACCATCAATCTCATCAGCTACTGCTTTGCCCTCTATGTGGACATGGGCCCATTGCCTGATGGGATCTGCAGTTCCTTTAAAAATGTGTGGATAAGTCATTTGCTTCTTTATTTGAAACTATGAACTTAAAATCTTAAATACGTTGCAAATATCATTCCACTGCATTTTGTTGAGTTGATCAGTTTCAGTTCTGATATTCTAAAACACTGCATAACTTATCAGCCATGATGAAAATGCATATAGATGAATATGTGCATATGTATCACAAAGTCCTTTGATAATATCTATAATCTATGTTTTAAAATGTTGTAAAATGAGAATTATATATCTTAGTGGGAAAGTGTATGCCAAAGTATTCATATGAAAATAATACTTCAAATATACATGGAAACTTTTCATTTCAATACACTGAAGCACTTTCTAGGCATTTCAATACAGTTTGTATTTTCATACCTTTACTTGGACACGAATTTTGTGTTTTTCACTGTCATTGTATTTTTATGTGTTCATACATATAATATTAATGATCTTTATGCTCAGGAATTCTAAACTTTATGTATTTATCACTTTCAGGCATTAATATTCAACACTGGCCAGCAACTCCCTAAATACTTCAATCATTGTACCATGCTCATTTCATAGATCAAAAGAGTTCTTCAAAACCATTTAAAGAATATTTTCCTGAAACCATTTAAGAGAAAGATTATTTGCTCTGAATAAGTATATAAACTTAATATCTGCACAACAATCGCATATTTAACCTCCATCCCATTTCCCTTGATGGCACCTACCCTAGCGTTGTCATGGTGACGATGGTGTACCAAAAAGCAGCAGGGATGCTGGTGAACTTGCTGGCCGAAGACCCCTTCTCGGCGTAGAACATAACCGTAGCGAAGATGATGATAGCCATGGTGAGCGAGAAGAGCAAGAAGCCCAGCTCTGAGGCACAGCTCTTCAGCGTATACCCCAGGATACGCAGGCCTTGCGAGTGGCGGGAAAACTTAAAGATCCGGAAGACCCGGAAGACGCGGAGTGTGACAAAGGCTCCACTGACATCCTCATTGTCTGTCATCACCAGCCCAATGTAATAAGGTAGGATGGCCACCACGTCGATGATACTCATGACGCTACGCACAAAGCGGTAACGGCTAGGAGCTGCCGCCAGGCGAAGCAAGTACTCCACTGTGAAGATCATGACACAGGCTGTATCCAGGCAAAAGAAGGCCACGGCGTACCGCTCCCCACAGGGCAGTTCTTTAATGTGACCCGGGCTGGACCCACATGGCACTGTTTCCACCACATTGGCGATGACTGAGACGGCAATGAAGAAGCCGGTTACATAGTAGAACACCAGGGCCATGGTGCTGGTGTGGGGGTTCTCAAAGGCCCGCCAGACCCTCTGCCGAGCGGTCATGGTGGGCAGCGCACTCTCTCCGGCGTTGTCCGTGTCAGCATCGTCCTGGAGACGCTCGGCGTTCTCTCGCCGGCGATCCTTGTACTCCTCGTAACAGCAGTCGCCAATAATCTCTGGGATGAGGCCAAAGAAGGCCAATTCTTCATCATAAGCGGAGATGCACTCATGGCGAGGGTAGTGGAGCTTCCCAGTACGGTAGAAATTCAGGATGTGGCGAAAGATGTCTGGGTCACGGTCAAAAAAATACTGCTGGGTCTCCGGATGGTAGAAAAAGTCCCTCTCTGAACTGCCCAGCAGAGTATCTGGGTAACGTTCCAGGGTGTCCTGCCACGTCTGGAAACGAGTGCCACTCACGTTCAGCACAATGAGAGCATCCTGAGTCCTTTTCCTCTCCTGCCTCGGGGGAGCTGGCATGGGCCCCGAGGCCACAGGCATCCACCCGATGGCTGCTGCCCTTGCAAAGGGCAGCCACGCTGCTACCCCCGCCGCCATGGTTCCTTCAAGCAGAGGCCGGAAGGGCAATCAAGTCTCTACTGTGGGTCGCTCAATGTAGCCACAATCACCCACTTCCGCCCGTCAAAGAAAACACTACTGAGACACGTGGTCCACTATCAGCCTTATTCAACGGAGGGCTCCTGATGAAGTCACAGTTCGCAGAAGGGCAACTTCCCTCAAAGACAGGTAATATTTTTGGAGTAGCAGGAGGGGGAAAATACAATGTCCTAACAATCACCCCCAACAGAACCTAACCAAACCTCTTTCCAGCAGTTGGACCGGGCCAGCCCTGGCACAAATAAGTACACAGGTGACTTTAGATTCTGCCGTTGATTTCAAACAGGTGTCTCTGATTTCTTCCCCAACACAGGCTGGATAACGTGGGGTCAGTATGTGTTGTGTAGGATAGAGACAAGGACAGTCACTGAGTGGTATTCTCTTGAAGAATCAGGGAACCCTTCCACCACCCCCCACCCCCCTTGCAGCTCTTTCAAACCTTCCCTTTTCCAAGTGGCCCTTCCCGCCAAAGGAGTCTCAAAAAGGCGACCTGTTGTAGTAGCCTCCAAGATGCGGTCACAGCCGCTGCCCCACGTCTCCTGGGGAGTCCGGTCGCCGCCTCGACTCCTCGGGCCGTATATTTGCAGAGACGGAGGTGCTGGGCGGTGGGCCGGGCTGGCGGGGGGGGGGGGGGGGCGTTAGTATAGATCCTCCTTCCCCGCGTCTACGAGCACCCCCCGGGTTGTGCCGAAAGCGCTCGCCCAATCGCCCCTTCACTCTCTTTTCAAGTTCAGCTCAGGTACAGTGTGACAGTTACAGCGCCCGGGAGCTGGCAGGCGCCGCCGCTGCCGCGGCAGCAGCATCTGCTTCCGCGCGGAACGCGCCTCGCCCGCGGTACATACCTGGCAAAGTGCGCGCCGGGGCTGAGTTGCATAGAGACTTTCTCCTCGTCGTGCACCCGGAAAGGGCTCCCGAGAAAGCAGCTCGCGAGCAGCCTAAGCCGACGCGCCGATGGGAGCATAAATAAAGCTCAAGCGAGCTCTTCTTCCCCTTCCCCCATCCCTCCGTGCCTCCCTCCTCCTTTTCACCTTCCAAAAGCCAGGCGCAGGCGAGCGAGCAGCAGCAACAAGTTCAAAAGGTGCGGGGGAGGCAAGAACGGAGGGGACTGGGTGCTGCCAACTTACTGCGCCGCGGCGGTGGCCGGGGCCGGAGCGGCGCGGCGCGGGGCGGCGGGGCGGCGGGGCTGCGGGGCGGCCAGGCGGGCGGCGACGGCGCGGCGGGGCCGGGGCCGGCGCGGGCAAACGCCGGAGCGCGGAGGCAAGGGGCGCTCGGTAGCGCGGGGGCGCGGGAGGGCGGCTCGCTGCTTCCCCGCCAGTGGGTGGTCCGGCATCTCCCCCGGACTCCCCGCGCCGCTCTGCTCGTGCGTTCAATAAATAAGGAGAAAATAAATAAATAACCGCGCGCCCGCCCCGCCACGCAGGTTATGAAAGGCGTCTCCTGCCTTTCCCTCGGCTTGACCTTTCTCCGCCCCCGCCCCCTCGGGCTCCTCTCGCTCCACCCCAGCCACCCACCGGCCCCGGCGCAAAAATGTCACCGAGGGAGAGCGTCCAGGTGGATCTGCTGGGGAGGAGAGCGGAGCCTCGTTGAACAAAGGGAAGCTTCACGCGCTAGGCTGCGGTGGTTTGGTGGAGGAGAGGAGCAAGGGGACCGACGCCTTGCTTCTGCCTGCCTGGGTCCTGGTTCAAGGCGAGCGAGCGTGGGAAAAAAAAGAGAGAGAGAGAGAAGCTGGGAAGGAGAGTGAGCAGAGCGGAACGCGCAGGAATTGGCTGTCTTCTGAGGGCTACTGGGTAGCAAGACCTGCAAAGCCCCGCGGCGGAATTTTTAAGTGCTTTCCCCCTCTTTATTTGTTCACTCCAGACGTTAACGTTGCAGGAGTTAATATGTCATCTGTCCAACTTACTGAAAAGTCAGACAGTCACCTCGGTCTAGGTCTCGCCACAACTCCTTTTCCCGTCCTTTGCAAATGACAGGAAGGATTTAGAACCCTTTTCTAAATGTCAGCGTCAAAGGACGTGCGTCTCCGTGAGTCTGCGTCCCCTTCATTCTCTCTGCGCCTCTCTGCGCACACATCTGAAATGGTTAAAGTAGTTAAAGCTGTCCCTGTGAGGGGTAGGTGATGTGAGAGACTAGGAAATTGTCGCGGCCAACCGTTGTGTTTTTCGTGTACCCCGCCCCCCAGTCATTTAGGCATCTTCCTTAAAACCAAACATATAACATTTATAACCACTAGGTGGCGTGAATAGAGAGAAGTTAAACCCACACCTCAGGTTTGGACGCTTTAGAAAGGTGAAGAATCAAAATAAACTGACCCAACAGCAGCAGATCTCGTTAATATCCTCAAATCCACCCACCACCCACCTTTTTAGTATTTCTAGGAGGTATGCTACTCACGTCTGCGCCTGCATTTTGATGGATATGGGATGGAATGTGGAGAGTTTCCGTTGAAATGGCTTTCAAAATTAAAGCTAAGATTACTGAGTAATAACAATAATAAAAGTGTTTGGAAACAGTGAAGCTTCATACATGTTGATTAAAGAGAGACGCCCAATGTCTGCCTGAAAATTACCTTTTCAAGATTTGGTTTGACTGTTCTTGATTTGTGAAATAAGTAAATTGGACTGTGATGTATAGTCTTAAATTGAATCAACTTTCAAGCCCTGGAGGTCTTAGGCATGATGTGTCAATCTTGAAATTTTGAAATAGAATACCTCAAAGAAAAGTTGTGAACTAAACAACAGAGTATATAGAAAATCTCCAGAGAAGAAGAAAAACAACCCTTACAGTGCACAGGGTTTTCTGTAGAGATGCAAAGATTGTTTTGTTTTGTTTTCTTGTTTACGGCTGCAGAGGCTTAGGGTATCCCTAGTTAGTAGTTAATGAAGTCGGAGCTAACATAGCATGTAAATTTGCGAATACAGAACTGAAGACCTCTGCTGTTACTCTGCTTGCCTTAGTTGAGCTGAAAGATGATTGTTAAGGAATTTATATAGCCTGCACACCTGAAAACAGCAATCATCTGACCTGTTAACTGGAAAATAATCAAAAGAAGGGGCTGTTGTTGTTAGGACTACTTAGTGATTAGTACAAAAATTAACCCCTTTCCAAGACAGACATGCCAGATGCATCCAGAGAATGGGTAATCATGAATAACCAATTGATGCCAAACTAGCATGCCATCCTATAGAGATGAGGCAAGTGACCTAAATAGAACCTTTAAAATTTCCCTGTAGGAAACTGAACTTACAAATCTAAATGTATATGTTTAACCTAATGAAACCCCTAAATAAGCCATTATATGGAGTCTGCAATTTTCCACCTGCAATGCAGGAGACCTGGGTTCAATCCCTGGGTTGGGAAGATCCCCAGAAGGAGGGCATGGCAACCCGCTCCAGTTTTCTTGCCTGGAGAAGTCCCATGGACAGAGGATCCTGGTGGGCTACAGTCATGGGGTCGCAAAGAGAAATACACAATTGAGCAACTAAACACAGTGCAATTTTTAAGGTTTTAATGATCTGCTCTCCCTCAATGTCTACAAGCTTCTTATGATAGTGGAGAGTTATAGGCTTAGAAGTCAAACACATCTAGATTCAAATTCTAGCCTGAGAAGTAACTCATTGGCTTTGTTTCATTTGGCAAATGACTTAACTTCTCTACTTAGAAAATATAGGTAACAAAACAACTTCTGAGGGCTATCATGAGGAGTAAGCAGAATAATACTTCTGAACATCGATGGAGAACTTGGCATATATAGTGGGTAACTCAGTTCCTTTTTATTTTATTGCATAATGGATATGCAATTCATTTTATTCAGCTATCTTTTGAGATCCCCACAGATACTTTTATATATTTACTCTTGCATCTGAGTTCAAAAGTTCCCCTGTCGTGATATACAGGTTACTGATACTTTAATATTCATTCATGTGTTGAAATGCTATGTGAAGAGTATACATAAAAAATTCCAGAAAAAGACTGTATATTTTTCTCTTCTTCAGAAATTCCTGTTTTTCCTTCTTGTATTACATTTTACATACTGTGCTTGGCTGACAGAAAATAAACTCAGCGAAATCAAAATTGAATTCATCACTTTTCTTCTTGAGTCAGCTACTCCTGTTTTCTCTCCTTGGGTGAGTAAAGTCCAAGAAAGAAACCTGACAGGCATCATAGTTCATGTCGTTCTTCAGCACTTCCCTCCTAAAATCACACACACTCATCCAATGACCCTTGTGTATTCCACCCTTATTACCATTCTATCCCTATACTTCACCTTGACTGATTTTGTAAAACTATTTTGAGATAATTATAGATTTTTATGCAGCTGTAAGAAATGATAGGTTTCCCTTATATCTATTACATAGCTTCTCCCCATACTGACCTCTTGCATATTATAGTACAATTTAACAACCAGGAAGTTGACATTGATAGGATTCATGGACTGTATTAGATTTCATCAGCTTTACATACACTCATTTTTATGTGTTTATACTTAGTTCTGTCTAATTTTACCACAGGTGTAAGTTTATGTGACCACCATCACAATAAACATATGGAAGATTTCCATTACAAGGATCTGCAAAACCACAGCCATAACCATCTCCTTCACTCCCCATTCGTATCTCTTGTCAATCACTAATCTATCATCCTCTGTTGTTGTTTAGTCGCTCAGTTGTGTCCGACTCTTTGCGACCCCATGGACTGCAGCATGCCAGGCTTCACTGTCCTTCACCATCTCCCAGAATTTGCTTAAACTCATGGCCATTGAGTCAGTGAGACCATCCAACCATCTCATCCTCTGTCGTCCCCTTCTCCTTCTGCCTTCAACATTTCCCAGCATCAAGGCTCTTTTCCAGTGAGTCGGCACTTCACATCAGGTGGCCAAGTATTGGAGCTTCAGCTTCAGCAACAGTCCTTCCAATGAATATTCAGGGTTGATTACATTTAGG